GTGCCCCTGCTTGAGATTTCACTCTCCAAGGTGCTCTTTAAGCTGACTTTGAAGGCAAAGGAACATCAGTCCAAAATGCAATATTATAGCCTGGCCAATGTCGACACAGAAGTGGCGCTAAATTATTATAATCGTCGGCTCAGCGGCTGGGAACCTGTGGCCGAAACGTGGGAGTGCAATGCCAAGTGTAAATACACCAAAGGTCACGTGGAGAACAGGAAACGATTCGAGATTGAGATCTTCAGCAAACAGTTGCTTAAGCTGAATATAACATCCACATTTATAGAGCTGTTCCACATGGTGCTAAAGAACTGGACAAACGATTTCAATGACAATGGGGCCAAGAATTTCCGTCAGCGCTCGCCGTTTATTCCGTTTGCGCTGCAAAATCTAACTGGTACGCCGCTGCTGTTCAAGCCAATTTACGCACCACTTGGGGACATGTCCTGTTTGGATGTGCATCAACTGGAGATCATTAAGAACTGGCACTCGGTGCCGCCAAACGAGACGAAAACCTTTGATTTCATACAGAAGAGCAAACTGCGGCACATTCACTCGCATCAGCTGAACTTACATCAGATATTCGTACAGATTCATGGCTGGACATTGATAGGACCACTGTCAGTAGACAAAGTTGGTGTATTCTTCCGAACAACCAGCTTAGATTCCCTTGATTTGGCCACAAAGTGCCGAATAATCTTCGATATCTCGCTGATTGGTTCTGCACAGAAGCTGATCAAAGTAAAATCATCATTGGGGCTGATAAACAAACTGGATCGAAGTGTTTTTCTAAAGACATCGCTGAGGAGTGACTACGGTGATGGATTGTCCTCCATAAATGTTATCAAACCCAACGATGAGATGTCGCTGCCGCTTAAATTCATCGACGCTTCTATATACATTGCGCATTGTTCCAGCGAAAATCAAGTGCTTTCTGGCAATTATACCGACGATATTGGCTTCAGCAATAGGGAGATTTTATGGAAACTGTGCGGCGACGACAACATGCAGGAGCTGCAAGTGTGCTATGACAAAAATCGAACAATATTGTATACTCTAATCAGCATTAACAGGGAAATCTATCACTGCAAGGAGCCGACTCTGCCCGGGCACAAAATCACTCTGCTGCCTCCATTGAAAATAAATAACATGCTCTGCTGCGATCTAATGTTTAAGATACACGAAAGTGCCACGGGGAGGATCAGTGCCTCGGAGAGTACAAATATCTATAATGTCAATATATACGAGCCCTTTAACCTGAGCATTACACTGGACAACTTCCAGCTTTCGGGCCACGTGAAGGTTCCCAGCAGGCACATTGGCATTGTTGAACCAAAATTAAAGCTGATCGACATCAAGAAGCGGGAACTCCACTTACGCATATCTATTCAATCTTTTCAAGGCAAGGGCATGGAGGTGTACATAAGTGCGCCCGTTTGGATCATCAATAAGTCGGGTCTCCCACTGATTTACAAGCAAGAAGGCACCAATCACACGGCGGCGGGACAATTCGATGAGCACGAAACCGCACGGCAAGTTGCACCGCTCATGTTTTCATTCTCTGATCAAGAGGGATCGCCGGCACTTGAAGTGCGCTTGGGCTGTGCCTTTGGCAACAACAATTTGGTATGCTAAAATGATATTTTTATAAACAATTATTATAACAATTACCTTTTGCAGTGGTGCAAAAGTTTTAGCATGCACAAGGACCTCAGTCACAGGGAATTGCGTGCTGAAAATACCAAAGGGAGCTATGCCATTGGCATAAGCGTGCGACGTGGCAGAGGACTATATGCCTGCACAACATTCGTGACATTATCACCCAGATTCCATTTACACAACAGAAGTGGCTACAAGCTGGAATTTATACAACGCTGCGATATTGTAAGTAAACATTAGATCAGATCTAAAATCATTCCTGTAATGTCTCTTGTTGCCCTTTCAGGATCATCCCAGTACGAGGAACATAATTTCAGCGCCAATCGATTGCAATTTCGCCTTTCACTGGCCCAATTGGGATCAAGAGCAGTACATTTGCGTGCGCATACCGGATGTGGAGTGCTGCTGCTGGTCGAAGGGAATACCCATCAATGAGGTGCAAAGTCTGTACATAAATGTGCGAAATGATTGGAGTGAAATGTTTTTCCTGCGCTTGGAAGTCATTTCCAAAGATGCCACATATATTCTGTTGTTTACGGACGCACGAACATTACCACCGCCGATACGCATTGATAATTGCTCGGAAGTTGCCATTAATTTCTCACAAATGGGCACCAGACCGTCGTGGATAACGCCAGTGCGTGCTCAATCCTCGCTGGCCTATGTATTGGATGATCCCTCAGGCACACAAACATTGCTGGTGGAAGCGCCGGGCGGGAATATGGTAGAGTTTCCCATAAACAAGACGAACATCAAGAGATCCTTGACGTACTCGAACTTTATCTACATCGCCTTTCACGACACATTCGACCGATCAAGCGAACACGAGCGAAAACCCGACCAAATCTATCAGCAGCTGGTCTTGGGTGTACGAGGGAAAAAAGTTATCATAATGGAGAAGAACTCTGGTGATCGTTCTCAGCTGTGGCTCATGAACTCCAATGGCCAATTGGAGCACGAAGGATCCACGCCACCAATACAGTCCAACGAGGCGCATGATGTACGCTTAGTGCTGGATCTTGAGCGGCCACCCAATCCCACAGAGTTTACCACTTTGGTGGTACGAACACCGAACAAGCAGCGCGTCACCACACAGACATGGCGATTCGAAAGTGGAAGATTAATGTGTCATGCCAATATGTGTGTGCAGGTAGAAGCTATCTTTCATAATCGATTCATTCTGAAATTCACTTTTGGATTTTAATTTTCAGTCCCGCTGTGGTGCCCAGGGTTTGCAGCCCAACTCTGAAGCGGTTTTGGGTCGCATTGAGAACACCAGCTTGAAAAGAAACAATCAAACCATTCCAATCGGACAACATATAGTGGCGCAAAAGTTAAGACCTGGATCGGGGCAATTGGAGCTGTCAATGAAGATGGATGGTCCCATATGCACCATCGAGATTGGCGACATAAAAACTAAACAAAATTCTGTATATTTAGCGCCTGATTTAGTATGGATGCATGCCTCGCTGAACAATAGACAAATGGCCAATGAAACGAAGGTATCAGCACAGCATGAGTATCAGGTAAGAGATTAAATGTTAACTTACCTCAACGTCCATAAAAAACACAATATTTTATATTGCAGATTAAGGTGGAGTTGCTCAAGGGTATTGGTATATCGATAATTTCACGCAAACCCTGCGAAGAGATTATGTTCATCAGCCTGGATCTCATACATTGTGATTTTGTGCAGAGTGTGTTTGAGAATTCATTGGATCTGAACATTTCGTACATACAAATCGACAATCAGCTACTGGATGCGGGTACCCAAGTGGCACTACACACGTACAATCGCACTGAACAGGATCAACAGAATAGCGCTGTGGTTCTGAAACTGAAAATGTTACCCTGTCCCAACAAGAACGCCATCATCTTCAAGTATCTCACGCTGGACCTGAAGCCATCGATTGCGAATTTGGAGGAGAAACTCATACTGAAGGTTGCCTCCTTTCTAGGCTATGGAAAATCCAACAGGCAAAGCCTAAGCGTGGCCTACGATTTCGAGAACTTTGAGGAGAAATTGATACTCAAAAATATGAAAAGATATTATTTTGAAAATTTAAATATTGGCTCAACTCAGGTGTGTTTTGGTTTTGGCTTTATATAATTTAATTTGTAACTAAACAGCTTCTTCCTAGGTGCGCCTGTCGGCAAGTACTTCCTCCAAGTTGCCCAGCGAATTATCAGAAACCAAAAAAGTATTGGGACTTACGCTCATTAAGTTCGAAGATGCCCTCATAGAGCTCGATAGCTACTCGGATAAATTTCACTTTGAGACATTGAATGTGTACCTGAAGGGCATGAAGCGGCACTACATTAACCAAGTCAAGTGGCACGCAGCTTCGATATTGGGGAGTGTGGATTTTCTAGGCAACCCCCTGGGATTTGCCAACGATCTCTCCGAAGGTGTATCTGGATTAATTTTTGAAGGCTCAGTCAAGAGTCTAGTCAAGAATGTAGCCCATGGCCTATCAAATTCCACAGCAAAGCTCACGGAAACATTATCTGATAGTCTGGGCAAAGTGGTACTCGATGAGCATGACAATGACACGAGACTGCGCATCATCGAGCCACAGACAAACACTTCTGGCGGCCACCTGGCAGCAGGTTTGAAGGGATTCGGATTTGGTCTACTTGGAGGAGTGACCAGTATTGTACGACACACCTACGACGGTGCTCAATCGGATGGTGTTCCCGGCTTTCTGAGTGGCCTGGGAAAAGGCCTAGTGGGCACTGTCACAAAGCCACTTATTGGAGTGCTTGACCTGGCCTCAGAGACAGCAAGTGCGGTACGGGAAACGAGTCGAGGTACGGCTAGAATTTGTACAGAGAGAAAACGGCTACCCAGATGCGTGACTGGTGCCACTGGCGGACTCCTGCCCATGTATTCGAGTCGTCAGAGTAAGGGACAGCAGTATTTGTATCTTATAAATCGTCGGAACTTTGATGAGAAAATAATTTCGTACGAACCGAATCTGTGGAGCGATAAAGAGGCGAGACTGCGTTTGCTTGTGTCCACAGAATATGTTCGTATATTCTCACTTACTGACGGAACTCCAAACAATGTGCTTCATTGCCATTTGAGTGAAATACTCTCATGCCATCCCCTGGTCACCAATATGGGTGCTACCCCATCGACAAGCAGGCAATCTTCCTGCCATTACATTGAAATTTCAACCAATCTTCCAAAGATTACGAGGCCAAGGATACGATGTCGATCGGAGGAATGTGCTGAAGCTGCATCCAGATGCGTAAGTTACCTATTATTTTTGTTTTATACAAAAATATGAAACAATTTATTAATGAAAACACAATCATACATATTTACGTTTCGTTTCTCTTTCAGATAAACTACGCAAAGAGTGTGTTTCATGAACATGAACATGCCGTTTTATAAATAGCAATAAGCCTTTTCGTGATAATACAAAATTAGAGCTAAAAAGAGTGTATATAAAATATTTATGGTTGCAGCAATCGTTTTAAATTAAATGTATGTATGGGTTACAGAATGTAATCGATTAATCAGTTTACTTGATTTTTGGAAAAGTACAATGTGATAGAAGAGCTAAGTTAAACAAAACTCTAATTGTTTAAATAAATGAGAATATATAAAAATAAGAACAGAGAGCTTTAAAAGTAAATGAACCAAGTTGGAAGGTCGAAAGATATACGAAACTCTCTTTGGCTGTTTTTACATGATCTAATGATCTAATTCTGATAAGGATAACTCTATCTACATCTGTGCATTGGGTATACTAAATAATTTAATGAATTTCTTGTTCCACCACGAATTTGGATAGCTTACAGCAAAACAAACGCAGTTGTTAGGATAATCTTAGAGAGCCCTTGCCATCGCTTTGATCTGTTGATCTGCCCTTAAATGTACAAACAGAAAATACATAATACTTAGGTACAATTGAACATATTTAGTAATCGGTGTTTTTGTAGTGCTCCCTCCTAAACGCCGACAGTTTCATGCGCTGTGTCTGCAGCGCCTGCTCCGTTTCGAGAACTTTAACATGAATTTCCATTTCCATGGTTTTTATTTGGGATGGTGTTAGATTGGAGAGTTCCTTCTCGTTTAGCTCTTCCAGTTGGGAATTGCAATCTTTAACAGTGGCCACCAACGTTCCTGTGGCCTGAGTAACGCTTCGCGAGGCTTTCGTTAGATCCGTCAGATTTTGGCTATTACGATTAGCCTTGACTTTACTGGCAATAACCATTTGGGCAGTGCAGGCAGCAATTTCCTGGGCAGCGACTATAAGCTCAAAGTTCTTTCCAGATTCACTTTCAATGGCATTATTTGCGGCCTCCACTAGGTAATTTGCTGCCTTGGCAACGCTTTTTGAAGCCGATATCAAACCGTCCGACCATTGACTGTTGCGCTTATAAAACTCGTTAGCACTTGCGTTTCCTGTAACAAAGAAATGCGAATTAAAACCATTGAATATTAAATTTCGCTGCACGTCTTACCTTTTTGAGATGCGACAATTTCTTGCTGTAGCACGCGGGATTTCAAAATCAAGACTTTAACACATTGCATGAGGGTTGTGCATGCATCCACAATTTTTCCATTGACTTCCAAGTTGGTTTTGTCATCCTTCTCGCGTGCCTTTGCCAACAGGTTTATAATCTTTGATGCTGCCTCATCGATCGCACTATCCATCTCACGAAGCTCTATCTCAAGCAGCTTGTCAAAGTCCATTTTATGCTCAAAGGTCTGTTTAATTTTATCAACTAATTTTCGTATATCCGACAGTTTTGATTGAGCATCGCTTAAAGCCTTTTGCGTTTCCCTATCCCTCGGTTCATCGCTGAGAGAATATTGGAAAAAGGTGCCTATGTCTGCGCATATGGATGAGGCCTTCGTTAAAATATCTAAAATTGGAAATAAGTCAGTAAATATTTAGTGGGAAAATGGAGTGCTTCAACGACATACCTTGACCAGTCTCAATCTCTGTTGTTGATTTGTAGATGACATCGCACTGGTCATATAATTTAATAAACGTATAGCCAAAATACATAGCAGCCTGCAATCCCTCAATGGATTTCGCCTTTTGCAGTTCAGGCGTGGAAATAAATCTAACTATGAGCCCATCAATTTCTGTTGTAATTTTTGGTATAGCATCTAGCGGCTGTTCGGCGGAATCGCTCAATTTGGCACTGCAAATATCCTTCACAGTTTGCACAACCAACTTTCTCACATCATTAAGATTGGAATGGCAGTTTTGATATGATTCCGTAATGGAATCTACTTGTTTCGTTGTTTGTTGGAAGTTTTCTTCCAGAGCCGCATGCTTGCCCTGCAAATCCTCGTATTGTTGAGTCACAGCAAGCTTTTCTTGCTTTAGTAGCGCCAGAGCACCAGTCGTTTCCTGTGTGAAAGCATACGAATATAAGTAAATGTAAGAAAAAAGGAGATTATATATGGTTCTACCTGTAGCGATGTCTCCTTTTGGTTAAGGTTATTTATAGTTTGCTGCAATTCTTCCCTTTGAGCCTCAAATGTTGTTTTATGCTCCAGTTTCAGTTGCTCATTCTGTGCTAAAAGAGTTTCCTTTTCCGTTTCATGCGCCTTCAATTGCTTTTGTAGCTCCTCGGTTTTCTGGATTATTCGTTCTTCAGCAAGTGAAACTTTTTCATTGGCCTCATTAAGGGACGAATTCAGCTTCTCAATGACCAAAGAATTTTCTGTTAATCTCGCAGAAGTCGAAATGGAATCCTGCTCTTGTATTTCCTTTTGTTTTGCTACACTGCTAAATTCCTGCTTTAGTAGCGCCAGAGCTTCAGTTAGTTCCTGTGTGAAAGCAAACATTTGTAAGAAATTGTAATGCAATGGATTATCTAGGGATTATCTACCTGTAGCGATGTTTCCTTTTGGTTAAGGCTATTTATAGTTTGCTGCAACTCTTCCTTTTGAGCCTCAAATGTTGTTTTATGCTCCAGTTTTAGTTGCTCGTTCAGTGCTAGGAGTGTTTCCTTTTCCGTTTCATGCGCCTTCAAGTGTCGTTGTAGTTCTTCGTTTTTCTTCACTATTTGGTTTTCCGCAAGTGAAGCCTTTTCTTCCGCTTCTCTTAGGGTCTCATTTAGTTTCTCAATAACTACACTATTTTCGCTTAATCTCTCAGACGTGGATATGGAATCCAGCTCTTGTATTTCCTTTTGTTTTACTACATTATCAAATTGCTCCTTAATCTCATTCCTAACCGATTCAAGCTGCGAAAGCTGGTCCTTTTGGTCTTCTATCTGTTGCAGCAAATCAAAGTTTATTTTATTCTTCTCTTCGACATCGCCCTTTATCTTTAGTATTTCATTGTTGAGAACTTTTGTTTGCAGTAGTAGCTCGGAGTTGGTTTGCTTTTCTTTATTTAAAACCTTTGTGGATTCACTTTGCTGAAATGGTAAAGGATTCATTTAGTACAAATCGTTGGAAGGATAGAAATGTTTGCTTACCTCACGCAATAATTTAATATGCTCATCCCGAATTTGCGTGTAAAGTGTTTTCAGTTTGTTAAACTTTTCTGAAGATTGTTTCTGCTTTTCCTCCTCTTCCATTACCTTTTCTGTAAAGTAGATTTAATTTTGGTTAGATACTAATTTAAACTATGAACATGTCATTAATTCTAGCATATTTTAATTACCTTTTTGATAAATATGTTTTTATTTTAAACTAGCTGAACCCTCGGCGACATTTTAAATCTTTTTGATTCCAGACAATGCCCTCGGGGTCCGAGTCCTGCCACAGCTTTGCACTGTTCCTTTTGTTCTTTATATGTACAATCATTTTATTTACACGCCTGAATATGCTAATAGAAGATCTCAATTTAATTCGATAAATAAAAGAGAGTCTCTAGAGTCATTCGAGTATTTTGAACAGTTTGGCGAGCTCTTTGTACTAGTCAGAAGTATAGTTGCTTCGGGTTCAGCTGGTTAAATGTATATCAGATACATATTTTTGCATATATCAGATGGAAAATACCTCTCGATATATATATGTAGATATTTACAGACAAAAGCTGGCTCTATATATTAGGAATTATATTTTCTAATATAAAAGATATTTTTTACTCACGTATTAACATGGGATTCTGATTTAATTGTGCCTCAAGATCGTCGTTTTGCATCCGTATATTTTCGCACATTTCCCTGGATATTAACAGATCGTTAGATAGCAGCGCATTCGTTTTCTGCATTTCGGTCACTTCACGTTGGTAGCTCTGTCCAAGCTCATCGAAATTTTGTTGTAATGAATTCAATCGGAATTTAAGCTCCTCAATTGTGGCTTCCTTTTCATTGACAATGCTCTCCAGTGTATTCAGCTGCTGCTGCGTTTGGCTATAATCTGGCTCTGAGGGACTGCTGGTTTCCACGAGATCTTCCACAACTGGTTCGGGCTCTGGTTGCACATAGACTACTGGCGGTATATAGCTACTGAAATCCACTTGTGATCTGAAATTTGGACTGGATGCGGGCAGTTCCGGAACCGAAATAAGGCTTTTAAAATACTGAAGCGGTCGCACATTCTCATAGAAGTCTTTTAACTTTAAAAATAAAACGTTAAACCGATCCCTGTGGCCGCTCAGGACGTCGTTCGGTAGGTTTTCATGCAGTTTAAACATAATCCTTACACTATTATCATAGAGAGCGTTTGAGTCTTGAATAAGACAAATCATGGGAGCCAGTCTACACTGACCCTGCTGCGTCATGGACGACATTCGGTAGGTGTTTATAGAAGCGAATATTTGTAACTGCAGTGCAATGATATCCTCCAAGTAATCAAAGATCTCCACGCACAATTGAAAGCTAAAATGAAGTCACAAAGACTGGTGTTAATATATAAAATATCTGCATGATTATGTCAAGACTTACAAGTAATTTAAATCCCGATCGGCGGCTTTCGAAAGTTCCTTAAATGAAACGATTAGAGTTCCGGGAAATGGATTCTTTTCATGGAAATTTAGTTTAGTGACCAGCAGCTTGCAGTAGGCGTTTATACAGAGTCCAATATCGTCCTGCAGCAGGCCCCACATTTTGCCCACTTCTAAAATCATTTTCCTGTGACTTTGAGAGTGTTTTATAGCACATGGATGACCCTCTCTGAGGACCTTGTGCAGCAGATGGCAAAACTTCCAGGCAGTGAATCTGCTCTGCATTAAGGACTGCCGCGAGATGGTGTTCCAAAATGATTTTGCTTCTTTGGTTTTGTGTATCATAATAATAATGGATCGAGCATGTTTTATTTTTAATGGTGCCTCTATGCCATTTAAAGCTTTGTTCGTGCTGACAGTCTGTAAGAGAAGAAAAACAGGTTAATAGGGACAAGAAGCGCCAACCCTTAAGCTTATGGTCATTGAAAGGTGCTACGCTTATACGAAAAATCATCCCTTGCCAGCTGTTTCGAAGGTTCCCCGCAACGCACGATTGCTATCTACATACATAAAGCATTTGCGCAACCGCGAATGGCGGCCCTATCTGATGGCCATCGATCATTCCATTGATAGTGGCGCTCCCTTGGGGAGCACTTTTATTTGGGTCAGATGTTTCCAAGGCATCGAGTCCATCCATATTGTAGGGCAAGATCGGGTCCAAATATTGGTTGCTATGGCAACAGATTTCGTTTTTCTTTGTGTTGTAGTTAATGAGCCTCAACGTTTAAAACATTCACTCTGCACTTGCAGCTGCTTGCAGACATGGACTAGATCGACTCGATTGTTGTTGATGATCCACACATACATACAGACATGAATATGTAGGCAACTTTAGCTTAATCCATTCGCATTCCCATCCACTTGCAAAAATGCTAATCGCTGTTGACTGGTTTCCCATATCTCTTGGCATTCGGAGCACATAACCATCTTTGGAAAACTGCATTAAAGTAAACTGCATGGACTACATACCAACTGGTAAAAGTCCTTTTCGGCTAGAGTTGACATTGTGTTGATGGAATCCTAAGCGAACGTGTGGGAGTAGCGTATTGGGCTGGCTTGTGGTTTATTCGTCAGCTCATGAGTAAACTGCAGACTGTTTGTTCAAATGAATGAGAGCTATCTTATCTTATCACAATGCTTTCATTTGTTGTTCTGCAGAAATTCATATTTCACCGATTCGTGTGTGTGTGTGTGCATGTGTAGGTATGTGAATCATAACAAGTGTTACCGTATCTGGAATTAGTGATGGATATCGCATCGATATTTTGCATCAACAAAACTGCATATTTTCATATTAAAAAAACACAAATTCTTAATATTAATAATAATTATAGTTATTTTGTTATAGGCTAAAAGTCGTAACTAAACTGTTGATTAAGTAAAATATTTTCAGACCTTTTTAAGTGTATGTTTACGTATGCAGACCTGATTTCAAAATGCCGCCGATATTAAAAGCTATCGCACAAATATACCGATAATGTTTTTGCAACATATGCAGGCTATCGATCTGCAAAATATCGGAGAAAACAAGAAGGACGTTAACAGTTATTCCAATTAATGAACATTTATTTTAGAATTCGAAAGTTTTGAGTGACAAAGGTTAGTTCCATGTTCTCGTGTTTTAAATAAAAGTCCGAAATGAAAAGGTCGTGTCGGTTTTGCTCTATTATTTTGAAGGCGTCCGCGAGTGGAATCGTAGTGTTGTGTATGTAATACAAAAGATCTCCCTGGATTTCCTCGCTGCAGAGACTCGAACACAAAGTGTTAAGGGATTTTCAGTGAAAAGATATAAACAATACCTACAGCAAATAAACATTTTGGAATCTGTGCAACAGGAATGCAGTTATATTGGCAACAATTTCTTGCTCGCTGGCTTGGAAGCGTCCATTTCTGTGAGTACATTTTGTTATTGGATTACGGTTTACGGTACATTACAGTTATTAAAAAGTCAATGGCTTACCTCACACTTTGTATTATGGCATGTGGCCTGACTTTTACCATGAGAATCAGTCCTGGGGTTAAACTGTTTCGGAAGCTCTCCACTGATCCAATGCCAATGACTTTTCCCCGCTTCAGCAGTGCCATTCGGTTGCACAGAGATTGAAAATCTTCAACATTGTTTGAGGATAGCAAAATGGTGCTGCCACATTCGTTGACACTCTTGATCACATCCAAAACATCCGCTCGATGCGCCTTCTCCACTCCAGCGGTGGGTTCATCCAATATGATGAGTGGGGGAGTTCCTATCACAGATATTGCAGTACTCAGTTTTCGCCTATCACTGACCGTATACTTCCACGATTGTTTATCCAAATGTTCTCGAAAGTTGAGATTTTCGGCCAGTTCCTCGGATACTTCGTGCACTTTATCCGCCCTTAAGCCACGTATAAGGCAGAATATTTTTAAATTTTCACGACCCGTAAATTTGGGCTCAAAACAATCATTTTGTGGGCAATAACCCATATATTTGTAGGCCCTGTATCGGTTTATTTTCTTGCTGTGTACGTCGACACCTTTGACTAGAACACGACCCGAAGATAGCTTGATATTCGATACAATTACTTTGTTAATGCTAGTCTTGCCAGAACGTTCACCCACTAGTCCAAGGACATCCATGCTAAAAACAGAGATTAGAAAATGTAGATTAATTAAATAACTATATACTTGCGGTTTGAGTCCAAAAGTGACATCTTTGACCGGACTTCTTTTGTTTTTTGTTACCACATTCTCCAAGAGAAGTGTGTGGTTTCTAAGCTCATTTTGGGTCATTCTTTGCACATCACAATAGTCGGGATATTCACCACCTGTACGTCTATCAGATAACATTAGAATTTATATCAGTAAAGTGTTAACCGAGGTCTTACCTTCTTGGTCTCCTCTTGCAAAATGATCCACGCTCCAGCAGCAGGAGTAGGATATAAAATAACATAGATGTGCCCATCAGTGCCATTATGTATGGAAATCCAGCGTACGTGCAGCACCAATGTGAGTGGATCTCTAATGGAAATTAAGATGAAGATCTCTCTTTGTTTAATCAGCAATTTACTTATTCACCGCATCCTGCATATAGTTTGTCTGTTCTTCCCTTACAAACTTTATACGATGATGCCTCAATGCAGATGGAATGCATCAATGCAATGGCAGAGTATGTGGGTATTAAATAGAGGAAAGCAAATTCTTTATCGGGTGCAGGCCACTCAAAGGGTATGGCTGCAAGCAAAGAACAATCAAAGAAGCCACATTTAAGTGCCAATTTATACTAACTTACCCAAAACAAACAATAGTAATACCGGTGTAGCCCATCCATAAATCTCTCGCGTAAAGAATTGCATCAACAAGTATAAGAAGAGTAGCAGGGCACAGCTAAATAGGATCATGCCAATGACATATGCCACTACAAATAATTTATAATTGCCAATATAATTATATACCAAAATCAAATAACAACTCAAACATTACCTGTCTCATCATCGAAATTCTTATGTAGAAGCAGCGTCATGAGTATTACCAGTGATACGGAAAATATGGAAAGACACATCCAGTCCCAGAATAGGTGGGAGAGCCAGAATGTAGTCATATTAATGCCCTCCACTTGTTGCATCAACTTGAATCCAATGCGTCGCTCTCTGACAATGTAGGCGGCAAAGAACCCGCTGAAGATACTGACACAAAACAGATTCAGATACAATGGTCCACTCTCGAAGCACTCAATTTGACGCACTGTGGAATTTTCACTCAACTGAATGGATGGATACGGATGATGGTTGAAGTTTATGTTTTTCGTTAAAGATTCCATGGGTCGGTTGGGTTCAGTGCAAAATAAGCCCAAAAATCCACTGAAATTTGAAAGGTTTTAAATATGTTTTATGCTAAAATTATAAACAAATACTCACCTGTTGGCCAAGTAAGCCATTAGGCTTGCCGCAACTGCCTCCGAGTGTAGAAATTTTCGGCTATAATATATTTGATATTCGCACATGTTGATTTTAATGCCAAAAACATAAACATCATTCAGGATATCTGCATACGTGTCCACGTCTGTCGCTGATATATCATCGGTGCGGCAGCCACTTATTTTCATCTTCAGGAGATGTATAAGTGGATTCTCATCATTTAAGTCTCGTAGAAAAGCCACACGACAATTTGGTCCATACATTTCCAACCTGAGTGGCAACAGGTCCTGCGACACAAAATCCGCGCCCGACTGCGGAAGATATTTGACTGGAATTGGCCAAGTATAAAAGTACCTTTGCAGCGCCGAGGCGCCCAATAACAGCAGCGATAAAAGCATAAAGAAAACCAGAAAATTGTGCCGAATGTGATAGAACTTTTTAAGCAACATTGCATTCCATTGATTGCAGCACAATTTGTAGCCATACAACAAACTTTCATCTGGTTCGGGCGAGCTGCTTGCAAAATTGCCCCTGTTAGTGTCGGAGCCCGGCGATGTGGCCTTGACAAATTTATTTATAATGGGCATGGTGCCAATACCAATGGCACCCATTTTAAAGCAATTAGCTCCCTGCTCCAGCTGCCGAAGCAATGGCACAATGTTGCGACAGTAGTCCTGGGGTATGCTGTAAGCAATTTCAGATGGCTTGTCAGAGGATGCACTCGTCTCTGGTATGTACTGCAGCACTAAAGAGGTTATCTGTGGCTCCTCGCATATTTCACCTTGCGAACAGACCTGAGAAATAAATACAAATAGCAGATAGAGCTTATAGGGAATGGTGTAACTCATACCAATTGATACCCAGAGCCATGCGTGTTCTTTAGAAACGTGGAAGTGCCATTAAAAAGCAGTTGACCATCGCATAGTATGGCCAAACGATCTCCCAGAACATCCGCCTCTTCGATATGATAAGTTGTGACAATTAAAGTCCTGCAACGCTTCTCCGACTGTAGCAGATCCCACAGCAATCGTCGTTCGCAGGGTTCCAGACCCTCGCTGGGTTCATCCAACACTACAATACGTGGATTGCCACAAAAGGCACAGGCCACGGATAGTCTCCGCCGGTCGGCTCTGTCCAAGCAGCGGCTTTTCACATTTCTAACTTGCCAGAGCTCGAGGGCCTTCAAATACCTTTCCGTGGAACGAGTTCTGACATGGGCGCTCACATTACGCAGCGAATAGAAGAAGTACATGTTCTCCTTAACACTCAGATTGGCAAACAGTGGATTATGCTGGGGCGACAATCCCACCGCAGTTCTGGTCGTCCTCGCTATGTCTCTGTCGTCAATTTTCACCCAGCCCGATCGGGGAGGAATGCTGCCCGAAATGGCGTTGATAACAGCGGACTTGCCCGAATCCGATAGTCCCAATATGACCGTGATCTGATCATCGTACATATTCATGGCGAAATTGGTCAGTGGCGGCTTTCTGTGTTGACTCTTGTGCAAAATGCATGCCTGCACCACGGCAGGGCTCAAATGGCGAAAGTTCCTTTGAAAGTTCTGTTGGCAGCTCAAGGCATCACGATTACTTCGAAAGCGTAATATGGACACTCCGTACTTGCCCGGGCAGCACAGCTCGACAGTTAGGCACAATACCAGAAAAGTAAAGGCAGCCATCAGCATTATAATGGATATTACGGCAAAACTATTGTAGAAGTTTCCTCTCAAGAAATGATACCACTGCAGTCCCGTATTATCGTACTTCTCGTAGTAAAGTATTTTTCGCAGGCCAGTTAGGAAACCAAACTGATACAACAGACACAATGGATAGCGCACAACTATTCTTGGGACATCCACATAGATATACAACAGGAAACACAAAACCGATAGGAAGACAATCACAATGGCAGCAAGGGTTGCACTTCGAAGTAAACTATGGATTAAGAAACATAAACAAATGCCACACACTGTCCAAATGGTAAAGAAACACCAAACGGCTGTGAAACTCGAACAATTTAAAATGTTGCCATTTTTGCAGATGGGTGCCTATGAAAGGTTCTAAATTATGTATAAAATATATGTAAAATACATGAAAACCCTACCGTAAGTAAGAATATGGTCAACAAGTTAATCACAGTGGCCAAAATTAAAGTAGAAGTAAACCAGGAGAGATACTGGGTAATCCGATTTGCACTGGAAATGCTCATCAAGTCATTTAGTTGATTGTTCTTTTCCTTTTGCATGTGCTGCACAATAAAATATACAAATCTTTACTATAGAAAATAAACTCCATTCCTTAACCCACCATAACCAAGCGCACAAATGGATAAATGTAAAGAGAACTCAAATAAAATGGCAACACATTTGCAAGAGTTGTACCCATTGGGTCAAGTATTTGTGGATCAAAGTATTCATTATACTCTTTATCGCTAAGAAACGGCTTTGACACGATCGTTATTCCATCATCCTTGTACCTTTTGGTTATGTTGCTGACTGCAGGATATGCTAGAAATGCCACAATGGCATACATTATCTGCAAGAATCCTTCGTTCATGTACAGCGGTCGGGGCGTGTTCCCATCGCCCCTGACATGATTGGTATTCCATAAGTCAGTTGGTATCGTTCGCAGGGCACTGGGAAATCGAATTGTGATGTCCGTGTATTCAAAGTATTCACCAGCATTCACCTTCCAAATAATTCCGCCCAAGAAGTTTTCGTTTATAAGGGTAGTTTCCATATCTTTTTCAGAGTTGACACGCTCAACAGATCTCAGCTTTAGGATATTAAATAAAGCTGATTTAAGTGGTACGACTATTGAATCCTTGTTTGAGTATAATAAAAGTGTTTTTTCTGGTGTTACATCGGCAATCATTTCCATTAAATTACTAAATATATGAATTGAAAAGGAAGCCAAGAGAAATTAACTCAAATCCATAAAACTTACTACAATGGACTAAGTTTTACATTATCCCCAAGTGTGCCATTTCGCCGTAAGAAACAATGCGAGGAATTCTCTTGATTTACGGAACATCGTATATAAACCAAGTGTATCATTAGCAGCGGCAGCAACAGATAAAAAACCATCTCGCATCGCGTATAACTCTTAAAGTTCTTTACCAATAGAACAAATAATTGAATGGCCATTACGAATCAATGCAAAAATTAGTAAGTTAAATTCTTATAAATAAAAATATTTATAACATGACATGCTACGCCTAGAAATAATATCTATGTCCCAAAATGTGCGTAAATTAACCTTGTGCTATTAATTACTCACCCACCGAAGAGCTTGAGCAAACATTTGATTAGTTGTTTCAATTTCGCATTTGAGGGCAAGTGACGTAGCTGGGTTATACACATAATAGCAACATCTGTTATGCCATAGAACTGGCACGGCATTTGCCAAAAAATTTTACTACAAAAGGGGCCCCGAACTGATCAGTCAGCATCGAAAGCAGTTCAAGCAACAATCAAACCAAATCATCAATATGCAGTCCAACAAAGTTATCTTCCTAGTCTTCGGTAAGTTGAAAAATAAAATTCCAAGCCATAGGAAGAAAAACTCATTATATGGCTTATAATAGGTGTCCTGGCCCTGGTCATTGCCGCAAGCCTGTCCAGTGAGGCTGTGGAGCAAGACAGCGAAGGTATCAGCGATCGTCGCTATCGTTGGGCTTCGGAAGAGGACAACTCCGAGGATAACTCGCAAGCCTCAGGGGAAGATGCTGACGAGGAAGATCAGGATGATCAGGGCAACAATTCTGGAGATGATGGCACCTGGGAAGAGGAAATCATTGAATATGTGCCAGCCGAACAGTCCTGGGAAGACCTGGAGAGTGGCTCTGCTGAAGCTTAAATCAATTTAAATGTTTATCAATATTGTTTCTTATTTATATGTGTATTAACTTGTTTTTATGAAGAATCAATCAATTAAATATCTATATAATCCATTTAAATCTACATATCAGAATTTCCTTTCTTGGTTTCCACAAATAATAAACAGTCTCTGCTCTGGTTTGTATAATTTATTTTATTTAACATAATTTAAAGTATGTATAATTCAATTTTAATATGGTTCGCACATACAGTATTTATAGTTTGATTTTGCATTAATTTAAACATTTTAGTATTATGCATTTAAATATATTTTAAGGTATATATTTAAACTATGACTAAACATAAATTTTACACGGTTCTCTCTCTTGCCACGCCACGCCTACCACCTCACCTCGCTGGTGATGATGTCGCTCAATAATTTACTTCTGCAATTTCTACTAAGTTGAAAACAATAATTTTGGAATGATGGGAGACAGGCAACACAATAAATATGTAGATAGGACACTGAAATATACGAGAAATACATTCATACATTTAATACAAAATTGTTTCTTCACATCTGATCTGTTATACATCTTGAATTGCTCTAGAATGGAGAGATCAGAGCTAAAATTGATCTGATTAACGTGTAATGTATTCTTCTGCTTTTGGACGTGTGTTAGTCATCGATTAATTGGAAATTGCACTTGATTATGTAAATTGCCTGTTGATGTTCTCTTTTTTTTGTAGTAGTAGTTTTGCCCCTCAAATGTTGCGCGTTTTGAGTCTTGTTTTCTCACGGCACACCTCCAGCTCCCCGCAAATCCGCTCTCCCGTCCGCTTGTACAATCACACATTGCTGTCCGTACCAACGGCACCGGTGAAGGAGAAGGGCTGGGCATTGTTCACAATCCCCGCCCTATCGTTGGTGGTCGATGCGGCTGTGCCATTGACTCCATAACCAGTTTGTTGTGCAGCTGCCCGCATGTCCTCGGCCGACGCTCTGTTTGCGAGAAAGCAGAGAAAAGGGGTTTAATAATTGTTTAAATAAATGCGATCAATACTAAAATTATAAATAGAGAAATTAAATAGTATTTATGTGCTCAACTAGGGATATGTGTGTGGTGTGTGCTTTGTGCCTACATAGAGAAACCAAAAGATTCGATATAATTTTTCAAAACATCAAAAGATATCAATATAATTTTTCAATACATCAAAATTTCGGGTGCTACAGGAATGTACTGTACAACTAATTCAATTACAACTCAAAATTTACATAAAATAATACTGAGCTACATTAAAAAGGTTTTTTAAATTCTACTTTCTAAAAATAACATAAAGTGCGTTTCAGGACATCCAGACAGTTGCTAGATTTATGGATAATATCACAGTTTTAATGGGTTTTACTTGCAATTGTGTCAGTGTCTGTGAAACGCACTGTATATTGATTACATTCATAAAAGCTTATACAAAATTATTTGCCTTTTGTGTTTTCTTGGAGGCAGCAAAGTGTTTAGCGAGTTGTTTGCTGTTGTTGGGCTATCGATGTTGCAGTTGCGGTAGACCCAGTCGATGTTGTAACTGCTCTTGGAACTGTTCTTGGACAGTTTTTGATGTGGCATGTACTTGATTCGGGCGCAAAAAAAAAAATTTGTTTACATAGCAAATTTTATTTTTAGTGTTGCCCTTCATCGATTTAACAAATTTATTCAACTTTTATGCTTAGTTCAGGTGAGATATCTCTGCTCAATTATTAACAAGTTATGGCGAGTATTTTTTTAAATGATTTTTATGTTTTAAGAACTAAAAACTAAAATTAAGTTAATGTATACATTTTGGAATGCACTTTTTCAAAGGAATGGTACAACAAAAACATCTCTCTCTGTCAGACTTGAAAAATGAATAAATTAATTAAAAATTATGAATGCAAAATAAGTTCACAACATTTAAAGAACACAAACACGGTACTTGTGTGTATATGGTATATATAATATATTGTATATTTGTATATTTTTTTATGTCTAATGCTTGATTATGTTCAATTTCAATTTCAATTCGTGGACTATCTTGTGAGCAAACTCAATTCTCAAATAACTGTAACATTTGTTGTATTAATTTATTTTATTTTATGGTTTACATTCAAGCCAGCGCATATCCGAGTTAATACTTCATCCGACTTGTACATATTGCTCTATAGTTTGTTCTTTCTTGATTCTCACTTTGTATAGTATCATTTATATATTTGTTTACTTGTGTGTTTACTAAGCTGAGTGTGTGTGTGTAGAGTGAGTGTGGAAGCTTGTGGTTTCTGTTTAAATAAGTTTTGTATTATTGTTTGCTTTCGGGCTGCTTGCTTTCAATATAGCTTTCAATTTCTCACTAAAAATATATGCTGAGCTGCAGCTTCGACATATGCTTGTTTGCTTGTATGTACGATTATCAATGTGTCTCTTCAGTATTTTCTCTATGCACTATATAATATATTTAACTGTAGTTTTTAACAACACCAACCGTTCGAAGAAAGACATTTAAAAAATGGAAACACGAATTACATGCACAAAAGGGACAAAGACAATCGGGGCCGCAATGACGAAAATGCATTTGCCCCAAAAAACACTTTGGTTATGTTTAACAAACTTTTGTTTTCAACAACAATTTCAATTACATATGAGAGAATTTCATTTCGTTACATTTCTTTTGTATTTTTGGTGGGGTGTTCTTCTGTATTCTATATATTCCCAGATGCCCTATAACGCCCTGCTGCTGCTCAATCAATTTCTGTTGGCGTTTCTACTGGATTGGATTTGGAGTGGAGTGGAATGTGTGTTGATCTGTGGCTGTGTGTGTGTGTGTGTCTTGTGGTTTTGGCAGTTGCTAATTTCGCAATTAGGCATTTATGTGGGACGCCAGACATCGGGATCTTCCATGAGTGTGATATGCTGATCGCCGCCCATTTGCATTTGGCCTCCCGCCTGACCGCCGGCCATCTGTGTGGGCGATGTGGCGGCAGCAGCCATATCCTCGCGCGAAGCTCTACATAGCGTTATCGTGTATCGTAATTTTATTGGTTTTTGGTTTGTTTTTTGTTTTTTTTTAGTTTTGTTTTAAATGTAAGCATTATCACAGTGGTAAGCACATTGAAGGAATATAGAGAAAACATTGGTTTCGATTAGCAAAAAATGCACTTGGCCAAGTTCTAACTAAGTTCCCGCTCTAACTTAGAGGCTAAACAAATATGGCAGATCCCCCCTCTAGATGCTAAGTACTCACTTCTTGCCTAACGCCATCATGGCGTACACGGCGCCGGTTGCAAAGATCAGCCCACTGCCGAATAAGCTGGCCAGTCCGAAGCACATGAAGATTGGCGGCACCGCCAAGCTATATATGGAAATACAAATGCATTCCAGTTAGATATGTACGAGATTTTTTTGTTAAATTATTTTGGTTCATTTAAATACTCACGCGCAGTACAGACCGGCCCGGAAGTACATGGGCTTGGCATCAACCTTGTCCGCAATGCCGTTCACCTGCTCGATGCACACAAAGCAGCAGGGCGCCTCCAGGACCATGACTATAAAGCCGGCTATCATCTGGATAATGCCAGCCACCAGGCAGGAGACACTGAGTGTGATAATTGAGAGCACATTCCAGAGCCCAAAGAGTATGGCAACTAAAAGAAAAGTGAATTTTAACACAACAGCTAGCAAATAAAATAAAAAATAGATACAAATAATTGAAAGGCGTTCCCTAACTCTTCCACAAATTTATGAGCAGATATGCACCACATTTCAATCTCGAACGCCCACTAAAAATATTCCCTCATTATCTTACCGAATCGCTTCACAAAACGAAAGCCATTAGGAAACGAAATCTAATCATCATCGCTGACTCACGCGTGTGCCAATTGTTCGCTTTTATTTATAATAAAAGTATAACAACAATAGACCACAACAGCCACAGAAGCGTGACAATTTAATGAAAATATAGTGGGTCGTGTTGTCAGTAGCAGACACTTGAGAGTCGTACGAGAGAGTACGGAGTAAAATGTTCCCATTTTAGTGCTCTAAGCTAGTTCTAGTTCTTGAAATGAGAGCTAAACCAAATTCCATTTAAATACGAGCATTTTATCAGCTGGTCTTACTGATAAAAAACTAAGTAAACAAGACACAAATAAACAGTTTTGCTCTTTACGTGATAAATGACTGGAAAAATATTGCGAAAGATATTTTTTTTGAGCGTAGGGGAGAGTGTAGTCAGCATTTCCTTGGGCTTCTTCAGCTTATCTCCACAAAATTGTTCTACAAGTACTAGAATTTCATGATCTTTAGTCTCCTCCTAGTGTTCCTCTTCTCCCTTGTTCTCTCTTTTTCCCCAGTTTCGTTTTACTTTGAAGCGAAATCCGATCTCAGCTTTGAGGTTACTGCGGTTCATAAAGCTCGTCAAAACAGACTCAACGGAGTCGATGTATAAACCGGCATACAAAACATTTATTAATTATAGACTTTTGGTTTTAATTTACAATCAAATATAACCAAAAGCCAAACTGGTTTATGAGTGCAGAAGCCGCATGAATGAATCTACATAATATTTTTCTCCTTCCAATTTGTTGAGTGTGGCTGGTTTCTTCAGACCCGATAAGGTATCCCAAATCCCGAAATCCCACTGCAGAGGCTGAAGAAATCATTGAGTAAAAAAGAAAAGTTCAATGTCATTGCAGAGAGGGAGAGGTTAAAGCATAGCGCGTAACAAAGAAAAAAAGCAATCAGGCGTAATCAAGTGAAAGCAGAGAGCGAGAATACGGAAGAGAGGAGCAGCTGCCTCTCCCGCACCCGCACCCGCTTCCGCGCTGCACTGCACTGCACAGTAGTGCTTGATAATAAAAAAGCATGCAAAATTACTGCTTAATGGGCAACAAAAAATTGCATTCTCTATGGCATATGTTCAATATTGGAAATACAATTGAAAAGGAAGCGAACAGTTACGAATTAAAGCGCCAAACTTGACACAGAAAAAGCTCCTTTGGCCCCGTTTGTCTCTTTCTCACTCTAGCACACCCACATCCCACTCACATACTTATGCATACACATACTATACAATTTCTGTATCCTTTTGTTACGTTTCCTACTACTGCCTCGTCTTCTTCTTCTTTTCACTGTTATGCTGCCGTGCTGTTGTTATTGTTGCTTTCTTTCTTCCTTTATCAATGTCAGAGCGTGCGTATTGTGGGAGGCGATACACACACACGGGCGCACACCCAGAGGGGCACACAGATAGGAAACGTAACAGCAACAACAAAAGGTACACAAAAATCGATGCCCAACATTTATGGAGCACATAATCTTACATGAATTGGTCGTTACTAAAGTAGAATTAACTGTTTTCCTCAAATGAAACTTACAAAAGGCGGCCACAATGCCCAGCAATCGACTGCCATATTTGAGGTACCAAGGCTGCTCCGGTCCGCCCGCTGGATCCTGTTGATTTGGACGCGCCAGCAGCCCCGTGATTTTTTCCGCAATCGACTGCGATGCATATTTAAAAAATACAAAATGCAATTAAGATAATTGGAAAAAATCGAAGCAGTACAATTTGTATTGTGACGCGGCGGCCGCTTCTTTAACACGCACACACGGGACCGACATACACGTACACACAAAAACACACACTCGCACGAAACACAAGTGAGGCTGAATATTCACTTCGTCAGCAAAAAGTTAAATTCTTTCAACTGACAGAATCGTTTACATACCATGATTTGTTTTGCTATAAATTACACTTAAACTAGTTGGAAAAGTATTTATTTTATGCACTTTTTCACGTCTCAGAGGGACAGAATTTGTTGTACTTTGCGTTCTGGTTAGAGCTGGCAGAGCCTCGATAGCATCAAGTGTCGCGATTTTGGATAAAATCGATTTTTCGTGCTACAAACCATCGATGTTTTCGGAATACAGCACGAAAAAGTAGAGCGTCAGGTCCTAAGCGCAAATGAAACAATGTTTTTTTAAATAGAATCATGTTTAGCAATGATGATGCTGAACATCTGCATTACCTACAAGTCGATGCTATCTTTCAGACTAATCGGAAATCGATGCCTGCTCTAGTTATGTTGGCAACGATAGACGATAAACACGAGCTTGATTAAAACGGCTTCTTACCGGAAAACGTGGCTTCTAACACGTTATGTTAGCACGCTTACTTTGCGGACACCAATTACAAAGATGAAGTATACTGTTTCGGAAAAGGAACTTTAAACATTGTCCCTAACGATGTTTACGAAAATAATGTTTCAAAATTATCGATAGTGAACATAGCGACATCGATGATGACCGATAATGATTTATTCGATGACGTCGATTAATTGTTCCTCGGACTCGATTTCTGTGCTGCGTATTTTACTCTTTTCTGGAAGTAATTTTACAAAAAGAAAGCTATGGATGATCAACGACCGTGCCAATTGTGCCAGGAACAAATCGCGGTTGGCATTAAGCTCGAAAATGAAGTGATCGAAGATTCAAAGGAGCTACTCGAAAAGCTGATTGTGTGGTACAACATTAATGTAAGCACCACTAACACCATGCCGAACAAACACGCATACACATGTATCATTCCCGATATTCTTTCATAGCCATGCATTCTGGAGAAGAAGTCGTGCCTCTGTCAGCCGTGCTTGGATCAGGTGCTCAGCATAAGCGCAACATTCCGGCGTTGGAACGCCGCGCAACCCAAGACGGACTTAAATGAAACGGTTACGGTTAAGGAGGAAAGCCCTCTGGAAATAGATGGCTGGGAAAACATTGAATTATTGCCCGAACAGAATCTGTGTTTTCCCTCTGGTAGTGGTGCAGAGGAGGAGCTTGAAGCAACCGATACAGAAAAAGATGCCACAGTGATAAAGCCTCATGAAAACTTTGCCATTGCGGTACGACACGATGGCCTTATATTGGCTAAAATTTATAAGGATAATACAAAGGCTGCCAGGATTGTCTGCACCTGTTGCCACGTTGAGTTGAGTCTCATTTCCCACATACGCACACATAGCTTAATGCTTCGCCCATGTCCCAAATACATTTGTCGGAAGTGCGACAAAACATTTAGCACTACGACGAAGCTAAAACAACACGAGCATGCCGAGCGTCACAGCGTCATCTTGAGCCGTTCAAAGGGATTTGACTTCCGTTGTGTGCAATGTGAGAAAGTCTTTGATGGCTACCATGGGATCATACGACACGCATCTTTTGCACACATGGCCCGTCCGTTCCACTGCATCTTTTCCAAGTGTTCGTGCACCTTTAAAGCCAGGGGGGAACTGGACTTGCATATGAAAACACACGAAATGCCGGTATATCGTCCACCGTTGTACATGTGTCGTGTGCCTGAGTGTGGGCATTCGTACTATATTGAGAATCAGTATGTCAAGCATATGAAGACCATTCACGGAATTCAGGCATGCCTACAGCCCGGTTGCACCGAAATTCCTGGCACTCACTGTCAACATTTTAGGAAAGGAGGGAATTCTCAGCAGGGTGAGTTTGTGTCGATAGAGACGTCAGCACAGCGGAAACGCAGATTCTCATATTCACCGCCCAACGACAATAATATGGGCAAATTCATATGCCTGGAAAAGCAGCTAACATTAAAATGAAAATGTTGAAATTTAACCATTATTCCTAAGAGTACAATACTTAATCTTGTACATATATTATTACGTCATTATATGGATGGATAATCCATTAATTTAGTTGGAAAAGAAGAGAAAAATGAATTATTATATCGATATGCCGACGATGATCTGTAATCGAAATTGAACTAGTTCTCCCGGTCGGCGAGCACCGCCTGTACCTTTACAGTCGATAAGCTAGACAGTTGTCAGCTTTTACATTCATTAAAAGAGGAAAAAGAACAATAAAACAGCAATAACTAAAACTTGATACATCAATTTATTGCCGGATTTGTGGGAGGGAGTAGGGAAAATATTATAATCTTTACGTTACAATTGTTCTTGATTGGAGATTTAAGTTTGTTTTTTCTTTTCTTGTTTTTTTGGTTGAAATTCTACAAATTGTGTGTGTTTTGATATTGTATGATCGTATAAGGAAGTTCTAGCACCAGAATAGATTTGTATTCAACTCATGGGATGGTTATCCTTCACGGTTAATTCCTTTACCGAGGACTGCCAAGAATCTATTTGGAGCTGGAGTCTAGGACGCACCTTAAGTTCTCGTTTTTGGACGTGTTGATAGTTGATTTAATTTTGTTTTGTTAGCTTTGCCCGATAACATGGTCTGAAATGCATAACAATTTCAGCTCAGAGTGAGTAGAGTCGTAGATTTTGTTTCGACTTGATGGTGTCGTCCAATACCAATCGGTTTAATGAACATTTGTTTATCCAGACTCCCATTCATGATGGTTACATATTGCCATGGATTTGGTATGGGTTGGTTGTTCACAAATAAATTTAAAAAAAATTGAAATTCAAAATATAGGCATAAAAAAATACAAATTAATATGGCTTTTCAAAAAGCTTTAAAAGTCAAAATTTAAGAAATTTATAAACAAATGCAAAAGGTTTTTTGGTCGAAGTTTGCAGAATTATCAAGCGAATTATAAGCAAAAGGCCATCTTAAGGGAATATTTTGCTAGCTTTTCGTGTTCCTTCGAGTTACGACCGCGTGGAGACGGAGACCCTGCTTAGTGGCTTAGTCTAAAGATATACACTAATAGGCAACAGTTTTACACACACATTGGAGACTATGTTTGGTGGAGAGAGAGAACGAACCCCGTTGAACATGCTGCAGACATGCTTACAAATTATAGGAAACTTGGATTTGATAGAAACCTTGAACGAAGTCTACGGGATACGTTATTATCAAAAGGCTTAACACATTTCTCGAAGGGTTTCGCATCTGATGTTTCTCCTCTTCTATCACTTACGCACTATTGGCTCACAAAAATATAGCTACATCCTCTTCTGATCCTTGGCATTTGTCGTTATGTCAAATGCACAGCTTTACAAATCATCAATTACTTCTTTAACCGTGCTGCCTACTATACCATTTGTAATCATTCAAATTTAAACTAATTTAAATTCGTTAAATGTTTGTCATTCATATTCATCATCAGGGTTTCTTTTCAATTTTATTGGTGCTCTCCTTACGCCTTGCCTGAAGATATGCCTCATAATTGCCACTCATTTGTGGGTCACTCAAGCGCCTGTCTGTGTCTGTCTCCGATTTCAGGGGGGAGCAATTTTGATTGTTTGTTTAAAAATGTCCTCACGTTTGCTTATAAAAGTTTGTTGTTGCACGTAGTAGCTAGCCGTTTGTTTTGTTTAGTTAAGATCACAATTGTGCTAAGAAATACGATATCACAATTTAAATATTTACATTGTTATTATTTGTATTCTTTTCTACACATCTTTCTCTTAGGTGGGGAGGGGCGGGCAGTAAGTATAGCGGCCCAGAAATTCCAATTATTTCCCTTTTCACTTGCCCCACGACATTGTATCCAACCCGTAATCAGATGAGTCGTTAAAGGACTTCAATTCCGAATACTTGCACAGCAATTGGGGGTGTGTGTGGATGTGTGTTATTGGGCGTATTAAAGCTACGCTTTAGTTAAGTTTAGTTTTTGTTGGTTTTTGTCTAAAAATACGTTTAAACGGCGCACACGGCACGAAGTAGGGGCTTGGTTCACGCACACAATAAACGTTTGGCTGTTTTCTAAGGACTCTTAACAATAGTATTCATAATTAGTAATTGTATTGTACTTCAATCTCAATGTCGGTCTCTTTTGTGTCCTTGTCCATAGAAAAATAGCGCCCTGCGTTACATATGTGTGTGTGAGCGGAAGACTCGAGTTCTTTTTTTTTTGGTATGAAAATCATTTCATTTTTTATGCCTGCTGTTCCCTATATAATTTATATAGAATTTATATATATTTAAGTGGAAAAGTTTGATTTCTCCTGTGAGAGATCATAAAAGTTGTTGAAGTTAACACTAATACATAGTCTCCAAAGCCTAGGACTAGACATGATTAGTTGTCTACAAGAGTGGTTGGTTGGTACGTCGTTTTAAGGTTTAGTTTTTTGCTTGTTTGTTTGTTATAACAACTGTACAAGTGTACTTGTTAAATGCAATTGGCATGCTTCTTTCCCTCTTACTGGCAGGGTCTCCCAAGGGTCTGTCGGTGTCTCTCTCTCTGTTCTCTCACAAAGCATCCAAAAATATTCCCTTTAATCTGGCCTTTTGCTTGAAAATGCAAATTCAATGAGAATTTTGATAGAAGGAATAGAAGAAAATTGTGTGAAAATGTCTAGCAAAACACATTTGCTATCCAATTTTTGGAGAATGTGAAATTCGTCCACGAATTAAAGTTGGGCGTAAACTCCATCGGCCCTAGAGCAGGCGTGCCCACGCCTACCTGACTCTGCTGCTGTTGAAGTTGCAGCTGCTGCGATGGCTGCTGAGATTGGGCTCGCGGTAGTACCCTCAAATTAGTGCCCGACGGCATGCGCTGCAGCTGGTGGTGGTGCTGCTGCTGCTGCTGTTGTGATCGGGATCCTGTTGTTGGGGATCCCTCATAGTTTAGCGAAACGGATGCTGGCCGTGGACGTGGCTGTTCCGCTTTTGGTGTCTTTTGCTGAGCTGCCGCTGCAGCCGATAGCATGGCTATTAAATCCATGCCGGTAGTGGGCTGTTGCTGTTGATGTCCCAAGTTATTTTTGACCAGCAGCTGTGGTTGTTGTTGTTGCTGCTGCTGCTGCTGATGATGATTTCCTTGCTTCTCGCTTTGCAATATTTTAGGGCGCAAGCCTTGCAGCAGTTGTTGTTGCTGTTGTGTCTGGTGTTGCTTCTGCAACTTGGCTGCCCTTAGTTGCTGCTGCTTCTCCTTGCGTATCAAATCAAAGGAGCTGATCACCTGTAATGAATGAAAGTTTAGCCAGTAGCAAGTAAAAGGGATTGCTAGTGGAACTTACCTTCTCACTGCCATTAAAGGCCTGTTGCTGCTGTGCATCATTTTGACTTTGGCTATGGAACAATTGACGCTTTGATGATATAGCCGCTGCTCCATTGCCTCCTCCTCCCGGAGTTGCGGCTGCCGTAGTGTGTGTTGCCGTTGATAGTGGCGTTGTTTGATTGCTGCCTGCAGCCGCATTTTGTTTATTGCGTTTGGTGCTATTGATTATGTTCAGGGTGCCTGTGGTGGTGGTGTTGGTGGCCGATGCACAAGCCACTGGCCCAGAACCAGCTACCGGTTTTCCATTGAGATTATTCAACTTGACACCATCCAAGTCCCCCATGGACTTGTGTCGCTGACGCTGCGAGGCAGCCGCATCCTTCTTGCAGCTGCTGCTGCTGCTTCCGCCATTCCCATTCACATTAGTTGGCGAGAACGCTTTGGGACTCTGCTGGCCAGAGCATTTGCGACGACGGGGTCCGATGCCAGCCTGACGCTCGCTCACCCACTTCTTCAAGCGCTTAACAAAGGGTATAATCATAAAGAAGGAATTGGCATTCTTGCCCAGTTTGGCTTTCGATATGGCATCATTCTTGTTGATCGGCAATTCATTAATACGGAACCAGTCACAGCATTTGATCTCGTTGCGTGTGCGCGGAGCGAACTGCGTCTCCATGGGGACATTCCGCACGACATACAGCCGCGTGTATTGATAGTTGATAAAAGCCTCAATATAATCATTGGCATCGATAATGTCGGTGATGTCGAAACCAGTTTCCTCATAAACCTAAAAGGAACAGAGCAGATTAATAAAAAGTAAAGTAATTATGCCAGGTGAAGGCAAACCTCTCTTGTTGCACAATGTGCCGGATCCTCGTTCTCATTGATTTTCCCCTTGGGAAAGCCCCAAGAGTTGCGTGCGAAATAGGATTGCACTAGCAAGCAATGATTGTGATCCTCAGCCACCAAAATGGCACCATATGTGGGCACCGACATCTTGTAGTTCTTCCAATCTTGCAGTATCTGTTCCACAGTGCCGAAATGTTTGTTCAGGAAGGGAATGTGCTGTGGCAAAAATATTAAAAAGTTCATATTAGAGAGATTAACTAGGAGGAGGATTCATCACTCACTTGAAACAATTGCATGGCAAATTGTTTGATGCCCACCGCTGGCAGCTTGCGCTTCCGAATTGGCACACCTTCTTCATTGAGTTCGGGTGCACAAAAGAAATCCAGATAGAACCAATGGGCCAACTCGATTTGAAAGCAAATTCTTATTAGATTGTTTAGCTCCATGTCCGGTACATTGATTATAAATTTACTGGCCAGATCATCAAGTATATCGGACGGAATTTTCGATTTCTCTGGCAATTTAATGCTGGACGCCTTTGCGGATGCTGTGCTTCCGCTTCCTGTTCCTGTTCCCTGGGTCCTCCTGCTGCTGCTGCTACTTGTGCTCGTCCCGGCCACAAGTACATCTTCGGACGAGGAGCTGCCATACGAGGAGTTCGTTGATGTCGATGAATGTGTGGATGATATGGATGAATTTAGGCGTTGCTTCTGCGCGCTGCTTTGTTGCTGTTGCTGCTGCTGCTGCTGTTGTTGCTGGTGCAGCTGCTGTTGTTGTTGCTGATGCTGCAGGTGCGCATACTGCGACTGCTGCTGATGCTGCTGCTGTTGGTTCTGCCTTTTCTTCTCAATGGTTATGGGGGCTGAGGGCTGTGTTTTGGTGAACACAGCACCATTTTTAAGCAATTGATTTAATACATCATTCTCAGCTTGAATAGCGAGGTTTCGTCTTTGTTGTTCATTTAGCCTTATGCCTGCCCCACTATTGCTGCTGCTGCTGCTATTGTTGTTGTTGCTGTTATTATTATTATTGTTGTTGATATTCAGCACTTTCTGAAGTGTAAGGGAGGCGAGCAACGCGGGATTGTTGACTTGAGGAAAAAAAAACAAAACATTTAAAGATAAGCAAAGGGCAAACACAGACGAAACGATAGCCTCCACTCGGGGGGTTTCTTAATACGTCATCGCAGATGGTTTAGATCGTTTACTGAGACTGAGCTTGTTCTCAAGTTTTGGGAAAACTTGATCTTGAATTTATTATCTGTGGCCAAAGTCTGATTGAAAAAAGTATTAACCATCGATAATTTACAGCAATTGTTGCTAGGGGTAGACAAATATCGTTTAAACAAACATCTTACAACGGCCTTTATATTGTCTGTTGCCATGCTGTCTAACCACTCGTATATGTGTACCTCTTATGTCGCAAATGTGGCTACTTGGAGGAGCACCTTGGCAAAACTGCTGACTAAGCGCCCGGGCAATGATCTGCGCCAGCGTAAATTGCGCAACAACTTTAAAACTATTACTATTTGTTTTGCTATTGTTGTTGTCGCTACATTCCGTTGGCCTCCAAAAGAATTAAAAGAAATATGACTGTCTAGCTCGGTTCAGCGACCTCCTCCTCTAAAAGTGTTGCAACTTGCAGGCGACTGCGCTGCGCTGCACACTGCGCACACATACAAGTACATAGAATTCACTGCTGCATACATGCATGGAAAACTACTGGCAGCCAGAGAGAGAGATAGAGGGTTATGGTGTGAGTTAGGACAAGTGGAGTGGGACAGAGGGGAAGTGCAGAAATTGTATAATCTATACAATGTTTGCTTTATTTTGTTGACTTGATGACTTTGTTATGAATCTATTTTTGGGGACATTTACGCTTATCAATCTTACCGTTATCGTTTTCTTTGCTGCTACTGCTTCTGCTGGCTTGGCTCTCGCTCTGGTAAGCGTATGTGGACGAGGTAGAGGCTGAGACGGCAGCGACGGCGGCAGCGGCAGCGGCAGCGTTGCTAATCAATGGTGCGATTTCCATAATATTTCGATATCAAACTGATGCGCTGCGTTTTGTTTATGTAATTCACTTTTGTTGAATATTTGGGGGTCTGTCTTTTGCGCAAAATATTTCTTATTTGTTTGTTTGTTTGTTAATTCACATTTGCGTTTCTCCTCTTCTCTCAGTCTCTCTCTCAAACACGCTGTACGTGTGCAAATGTTAGTGTGTGTGGTGTGTATATGAGTGCGCTGCTTATGTGTGGCGTGTGTTTGTGTGCCTGAATATTTTTTGTCACGTACTTTTACAACAGATTTGTTTTTGTAGTAAATATGGCTGCCAAGTTTTGAAAATTTCTGCAGTCTTCAGCTTTTGTCGCACGAATTTCAATTTCCAATGCAATTTTTGTGTCCTGCTAATGATTCTTTTACATTCTTTCGCTATTGTTCTATCGTTTGGTGTTGTTCTTTTTGTTGTTTTTGTTCGCTCAACATTTTCTGCATTTGTTATTGTTGTTGTTGTATTGTGGAGAGCCATCCACAAATAAAAGTCCGCTCCACTTCAGGCGAATGAAAAAACTCGTTCGCACGCACACAGTCACACTTTTGGTTTTTTCACGTACTTTCTACTTTGGTGTTTGGTGGTGTCGCATTGGTTTTCCTTATTCAATTCAAAGATTATTATGTGCAATGCGCGACCTGTTTTGCTTTTATTTGCACTTAATGTGGTAACTATTTTGCACTATTTTGTAGGTTTTTCTTTACAACTTTTGGAAAACCGTCAGCGTCGCGTAGGGATCAGTGTGACGGCGGAACTATCGGTAATATGTATATATATATATATATATATATATATAGATATATATCGATAGAGCCCTTACATTTTCAAAATATACTGTAAATATACCGTAAATCTAAAATCATTTTCCTCAATTTCGGTGTTATATTTGATATTGGTACCTGGTTAGGAGTCTCCGCGCTAAAACTATAATTTTATCCGATTTATCAATCAATTTTGCACAAGATTGGCTAGTTCTTACGACTTCCTTGTGTTGAAATATTTACAAAATAAGTTTAAAACTAAAAAGGTCAGCCAACAAAAATAGCATAAAACGTTACGTGAGTGGGAATGGTTTGCTACGTTTTGACAATTTGTGGCTTTTCAACCGGTAGGTATAGTCACTGTAGTATTATATGGAATAGCATGGGCATTGTTGGTACTGTTTCCAGTAATTCATATTAAAATATCATTATCACATCACTACTATCGATAAAATGCTCGATATGATGTAATTGGATAAACGCATTCGATATATGGAATCGATACGGAGAATTACATAGCTACTGTAGTTTCGATTTTTCCAGCCCCAAATAAATTTTCTGTTTGCAAAAAAATAAGCGCTTTTGTGCAACGAAAACTTTACAAATGTGGTCGCTTTAAGCAAGCAGCAAAATTGCATTTTCGAAATTTTCCGCCTGCAGCTGGCCCTGGACGTGCTTTGTATCCGTGGAGAACAGAGAAGCAAAGGTATTGGGACATCGCCATCGCCATGTGTGTGTGTACATGAGTGCCAGTGCCAGTGTTTGTTCCTGTGCGTGTGTTTGTTTGTGTGTTACATTGTATGTCTGTGTGTGTGGGCGGTGGGGCATCAAGGCTGGGTGAAAAAGGCGCTGGAAAAACGAACATTGCCCCAAATTTAAGCCATTTCTCATATTTTCATATCCACAGATAGACGCCGTGTGGGGTTGGGTTGCTTCCGCCCCGCTGCGCTTAGCGGCGAACAGAATGGGCGACCTTCCGGGCTCCACGGGCGGAGGAAGTGGGCCAGCTGCAGCCGGAAATGCAAGTGGAAATGCTAACTCTGCAGGTAACACAGGCCTTGGTGTGGCCGGCACCACGGGCGTCGACCGTCCACCATCCCCGGCCCGTCTCTCCCACACATCCGAGAAGCATCCAAAGGTTACGCTGACCGAGCTCAATATGCTGCGACGCCACCGCGAGCTTTGCGACGTTGTGCTCAATGTGGGCGGACGCAAGATATTCGCCCATCGGGTCATTCTGTCCGCCTGCAGCTCCTACTTCTGTGCAATGTTCACGGGCGAGCTGGAGGAGTCACGCCAAACAGAGGTCACCATACGAGACATCGACGAGAATGCCATGGAGCTGCTCATCGACTTTTGCTACACGGCCCACATCATTGTCGAGGAGTCCAACGTGCAGACACTGCTGCCTGCCGCCTGCCTGCTACAGCTGGTCGAGATCCAGGTCAGATCTGAGATTGCTTTGCTTATTCTGTTCTCTTCATTGAGTTTTTTTCTCTGTTTTTGCTAGGACATTTGCTGCGAGTTCCTCAAGCGCCAACTGGATCCAACCAATTGCCTGGGCATACGAGCCTTTGCCGATACACACTCCTGCCGTGAGCTGCTTCGCATTGCCGACAAATTTACACAGCACAACTTCCAGGAGGTGATGGAGAGCGAGGAGTTCCTGCTGCTGCCCGTCGGCCAACTGGTGGACATTATCTGCAGCGACGAGCTTAACGTACGCTCCGAGGAGCAGGTCTTCAATGCAGTCATGTCCTGGCTCAAGTACAATGTGGCTGAGAGGCGACAGCACTTGGCACAGGTGAGTGTAGCGCTCAAGCTCGTATCTCTCACATCCTAATGCCTCTTTGTCTGCCTTCCACTAAAGGTACTCCAACACGTCCGTCTGCCTCTACTCTCTCCAAAGTTCCTGGTCGGCACTGTGGGCTCCGATCTGCTGGTGCGCAGCGACGAGGCCTGCCGGGATCTGGTGGATGAGGCCAAGAACTATCTGCTGCTGCCGCAGGAGCGACCACTGATGCAGGGACCACGCACCAGACCCCGCAAGCCAACACGCCGCGGCGAAGTTCTGTTTGCCGTGGGTGGCTGGTGCTCCGGCGATGCTATTGCCTCAGTGGAGCGCTTCGATCCACAGACCAATGACTGGAAAATGGTTGCACCCATGAGCAAGCGACGCTGCGGCGTGGGCGTGGCCGTTCTCAATGATCTGCTCTATGCTGTGGGTGGCCACGATGGCCAGAGCTACCTGAACAGCATCGAGCGCTACGATCCGCAGACGAATCAATGGTCCTGCGATGTGGCACCCACCACCTCATGCCGCACCAGTGTGGGCGTGGCCGTGCTGGATGGCTTCCTGTATGCTGTGGGTGGCCAGGATGGTGTCCAGTGCCTCAATCACGTGGAACGCTACGATCCCAAGGAGAACAAATGGTCCAAGGTGGCTCCAATGACCACACGACGTCTAGGCGTTGCGGTGGCCGTGCTTGGCGGCTTTCTCTATGCGATTGGAGGCTCGGATGGACAGTGTCCATTGAATACAGTAGAGCGCTATGATCCTAGGTGAGTTCCGCAGTAACTTTCTGCCTTGTTCCCCGATTAATGTGAAATTTCCCTCTGTGTACAGACAAAACAAATGGGTGGCCGTCAGTCCAATGTCGACGCGTCGCAAGCACTTGGGCTGTGCGGTGTTCAACAATTACATCTATGCCGTGGGCGGGCGAGATGATTGCATGGAGCTCTCGTCCGCTGAGCGCTATAATCCATTGACCAACACCTGGAGTCCCATTGTGGCCATGACCTCGCGACGCAGCGGGGTGAGTGTTGGGAATGCCAACACCTGCAGCCAAAATGTAACTTTCATTTTGTCTTTTTTGACTACTTGCAGGTTGGTCTGGCCGTGGTGAATGGACAACTGTACGCTGTGGGCGGCTTTGATGGCTCCGCCTATTTGAAGACCATCGAGGTGTACGATCCAGAGACGAATCAATGGCGTCTCTGTGGCTGCATGAACTACCGCCGCCTGGGCGGTGGCGTGGGCGTGATGCGTGCACCTCAGACTGAGAATTATATGTGGTGCGAAAACAGTTTTAAGCAGCAACAGCAGCAACAAGTGCATAACACTAATAATACCCCATCCCAATTAACATCGTAACTTTGCTCGTTTCACTGTCATTCATTTGTATGTTTGTCTTTTGTCTTCTCTTTCCTCCCTCCCGATCCCCCTGCTTACTCACATGCTAACAAATGAAGGATACGCAAGGATTCTGTTGTCTGATGGGAGAAGCATCCGCCGTCGTTGACGTTGCCATCGCAAACGTTGCCGCCGCCGCATTTCTACTAACAATTGAAGCCAAATTTCGAATGCCCCACAAACCCATCTCCCTCCCCCATCCATTGTTTAGCAGTTTTGTCTGTGAAGTGTACTATGTGTTAATTGTTTATGTGGTAGAGCCTAAGCCTCAACTTTCCCCATCCTCAGATTAGTATTAAGAGAGTTATATAAGAGCCACCAACTAAACCCTGAAACTCCTCCACCAACCATGCCCATGCCCCCACACTCCCCATTGTAACTAATAATACACCTATGGTAGAATATATATATATATGTATATGTTTAATGGTAAGCAGCTATAATTGATAGACGAACTCGAAATCGTAATAATTAGATTGTTGCTGGTTGGAATTTCATGGAAATTGCTAACGCCGTGCCCCATGCCTTCTTTTCGGAAACAAAGTTAAAAACAAAACTAATAACTAAAAATCAAATCAAATGCTAAACTAAATTCAGTTAATTTATTTATTGGAAAAATGAGCTCTAAAGTCAAGTAACAAAATTGGTATTAAAATAATTGAAGTATTAAGCAAATTATTTAACGCCCCCTGCCTCTACCTTATTTATTATTATTTTCCAACCCCCTGCCCGGCCTCTCTTCAGCTACTTGTCAATAGGACAGACAGTTCTTCGTTTGATAGGATTTCAAGTAGAGTAAAAAATGCTTAAAAGCTTAAAAATACAAATGGGATAACAAAAAAAAAACCAATTACAGTTGCAAATGAACAAAAAAGTCTTAAGATAGCCCCCAAGAAACATTTCAATAGTTAAATTAAATAATTAACAATTAAATTTAAAGTCTACGCCTAGTTCTAAGCCTACAAATTTTAATATTGTTAATCGTAGATTGAATGCCGATGAAGATGAAGCCCGAACCCCTGGCTGACCACTCGACACATCGAGTTTTAACGTTTTATTGTTAAACAAAGTTTGACCTGGATCTGCTGGGTGATGGAAACTCGAACCAACTTGGAATTATTCATTGGCAAAGGAAAATCCTCTCCTTTCCTATTTTGTTATTTCAATTGAACAAATGTTCTTTATTTATTTATTGTACGCTTTTGCATCTCATTGTATTGTATTGTATTTAGTTGTATTTTTAATTATTGTGCACCTTTGTCATTAATTTATACCTGTTGTTGAGACGATGAAAGCCGTGAGCAAATCGTATGGAACTTTGCTTCCACATTGACGAATAAGAATAGCATTTACAAAACGAAAACGAAACCTTAATTGTATGTTAGAATTAAGAATGAGATAAACAAAAAACTCTCACACCCACACACACACACACCAAGCAAAGATTAAACAATATAAATTGATTGATAGTTACATTAAATGGAATACAAATACAAAAATATAACGCAAAGATTAGCACAGTGTTCAAAATGTCAAAAGTTCATCAACAATGGAAACCATACTAAGTGTAGGGAAATATAATAATAAAATATATATATCTATACTAAAACATTTCCCTGTGAGAAAGATTTCATTATTCTAATTTGAATTCGATTATTTTCAGCCTGTCGAATCAATGCGCCACCTAGCGACTTTAAAGTGTAGCCCTTGGCTTCTATCGATAACTCCCCACACAGCTGTTCATTCTGGCGCTTTATTTACCATTGCCAATTTTTACAAATAATTTTGTTAGTTTTGCGCCGCAAAAATGGCCGCAGCGGCAGGGAAAACTAAAATCCTGAGCAGTGGGAAGTACGCGCAGATCTGTCAGTTTATCAACGGATTCCATGGACTGCCCATGGACTGTGAATTCGAAATGAGGGACACATACTTTCCGAATGTGGACCCGATGGCCCTGATGTGCATTCTGCAGTCGGAATGGTCCAACAAATCGCGCACCCAACACTTTCGGCACGAGCAGCGGGCAAAGAAGCTACTAAAGACGTAGGGCCGAATCTCTATTAACGTCTCCCAGTCTATATTTGTTGGTTTAATCTCTCGCTGTCAATTCGCAGATATGAGAAGCAAGCGCCCATGTACAGCGACATAATTATACGCATGGCCTGTGCCGAGGGCATCAATCCCGTGGCACTGTGTCGCATCCTGCTGCAGGAGAAATACGATCTGAGACAGAGGCTGCAGGTCTCCCACCTGCTCAGGAATCCGCATTTGATCAGCGATCCCCGTCTGGCGGCCAATGTGCAGCAGTGCATGTTCAGCGATAACCAAGAGGGTCCCATCACAGACCTACGTCGTCGCATAGTGGGCGAGGAGTACGAGCTGAAGCTGAAGGATCTGTCAAAGCAGTCCGGCATTCACTTCTACGACGAGCAAGATCTGCGCCGCATGGGCTACGACAAGACGCCCGACATCAAAATGATCTTGCCCTTCCTCTACAAGGGCGGCGTTGTCAATTGGATCGAGAGCAAGGCCAATTTCGGTGACACCAAGAGCCACAAGCGGAACATACACCTACAGCTGCAGAGTTATTGCAATCGGTAAGTCGTTGAGCATTCACTTGGTCTTTCCTGCCTCACGTTGCTTTTATTCTCTTTAGCTTCGGTCCTGGCATCATCATTTATTGGTTTGGCTACCAAGAGGAGACTCCCTCGCTTCCAGACAATGATATAGGCATCACCGTACTGACGGACTTTCCAGCCAAAGAGGATTTAGTCTTAATGCAGCCAACGGAAGGGCAAGCGACAGCCCCAAGTCCAGCTGCTGTGGAAGCAGCTCTTGCGCAGTCCACGACAATCGCGAAAGCTGCTCCAAACCCTTCGTGAGGGGGCTGGATTTATATGCAGGTATATTCTCATTTATTGTGTGTCCTGTCCGTCAACATTTTTTTGTATATGTTTCAAAGTTTTTCCAACATTTGGAAATGGCTTTAAGTAGGGAAATCAAGACAAGACGCGAATGCCATTGCATTTAAATATTAACTATAAGACCAACACCTGACAAATACTCATATTTTTTTTAAACAATTTTTTGTATTTTCTTTTTATTTAAATTCTCATTTACACTCGATTAACTCGAAATTTGTTATGGTACAAAAAACATTTTGTTGTTGTTCTCCTCGTTTCTGGCATTGTTCGATTTGTATAAACGTAAATATCCAAAAAAATGGTGGCAGAGCAGAGCAGATTAATAATTAATTAATTGTTGTTCTCAGAAAAAGACAGGGGGCTCGGGGTAAGGTTAGATAATTAATAATAAAAAACAAAAGTCATAAATTATGCTATGTGCTTGGTTGTGTTTTTTGTGTCTTGTATTGTATAGTTTTATCATTTAAACAATTGCCAAACACCGTCACGAGCGGCGTGTCGTGGCGTGGCATGACGCAAAGATTGTGGCCAATCTCCAATCCTAAGTTAAAGAAATATCTAAACCAAATTCAAAATGTTAGCAGTATGTATACAAAAAATTCAGCTGCGTTTCCTTTATTGGCAATAAGTCGTTGTTGGCGTCTCCCATTAAGATCTCATTTGGTTCGGCTGATTGCTGTTGCTCTGGTTGTTGATGTTGATGTAAATTAATTGTTGCAAAGATTTCGTACTGGTAGGCAACTCGTCGTTGAAATTTGCCTCGTTTCGCGTCGTCTCAGACATCCTTAAGCTCCTCGGGCATATCGTTCTTGGGATGCTTATTCTCAAAGTGCTGTTTGTACGTCTTGGGATCGGGCATTTGCGACTGCAAGTGGACTCAGATTAGTTTCGTGTTTTGGCAGTGGGAAACTCGATAAACACTCACCTTGCAAACAGCGCACACATGGACTAGCGCCTTCTGGGCTGCCTTCTTTTGGTCGGTGGCACTGTGGCCCTGTTGCTTCTTCATCTTTGCCTGCTTGTCGGCCGCCTTCGCCTGTGACTGAATCTTCTGATGTCCGCGTGCCATTGTGTGCTGCCAAATGATAATAAAAAGTACACAAATTAATCAATTAATGCGCTGACTTGGCAACAATCAACCAGCTTCTGTTGTTGTTGCTGCTGCGCTTAGGCGGGATTCACAGCAAAGGCGGCATAACGGCAAACGACAGCAGCTGCAGAAGCGCAGCACTGGCAACGGAACTTTCTCTTTCTCACCAAGCCAGCAGTCAGCAGACAGCAGACAGCAGACAGCAGCCACTGGGGTTCACAGGAAACGCGTTTTTCTATCTACGTCTAATGATCGTAAATAAAATGTAACCGTGACACGAGTACCGCCACCGCACTGACGGCGTTCCACCCCCGTTGCTCTCATCATATAATGGGCAAAAAAAATGTGGCCACCGACGGACGACCACGTTCTCTGTTGTGCCTGTGGGAACATCTTCCTTACCTAATTGCTGCGTGTTTCTGTTTGGTTATGTGTGCGAAATGGAATTGCGCAGAATTTGGGTTGTTTCGTTGATTTTACGAAATGTTTTGCACGTTTTGTAGCCAAAATCCAAAATTTTGTTGACGAAATGTTTCCACTTTTTATGGCCGAGATTTGTTGACGGAGTTATCGACAAAATATACCGACAGCCCCTCGGAAAAATACCATAATATACCAACTCATTTTAAAAATATACTGTAAATATACCGTGTTTCTAAAATAATTTCCCTCAACTTTGATCTTCTGTTTAATATTATCAGCTAGTTAAGATACTCAGCTTTAATTTTTTAATTTTACATTAACCATTAATCAATTCTCTACAAGATTGGTTGATCTTCATGACTTTCTTTATTGGATTGATTGCAAAATAAGAATAAAACAAAAAGGGTCAACAACAAAACTAGCATTAAAACTTACGTGGGTTGGAATGGAATGTTTCCTCACTTGACAATTTATTGCTGGCCAACCGATAGTACTATTTGCAATATCTTTCTAGCGCTTGTCCCTTCGAGAGGCCCGTCTCCTCAATAGTAAACTTCGAGCCATTATCGTTGACCAGCAATTATGAAAATAATTTTAATAATACATTAAAATACATCGATAAACTGTGGCGATACTCATGTTAATTTTGCTGATCTGAAAATACCGAAAAGAGACCAACTCATATTCAAAACCGTTATTTTTTCAATGAAAAAACAAACTTATTTTTTCAATGAAAAAACAAACTTATTTTTTCAATGAAAAAACAAACTTATTTTTTCAATGAAAAAACAAACTTAGCCCACGTAACCCCCTCTATCTAAACAGAAGCGCAACTTCCGGTAAACCGGAATATTTTCGTTTTTATGATAAGAGATGAATGAAATTAATTATCAGTCGCCAAAAGAAAGATTTTCATTTAAAGCCATAGGCGATGTGAGCTAACAGAGAAAAAAGTCCCACGCTACCTACGTGCCGTGAACTACACACACATGTACACATACAAAATCAAAGCGAGAGAGTCAGATCTGCTATGCACACTTCCGATTTCGTGCTTTGCTGTGGGTGGGAGAGGAAGACGAGGAGAGCGATTGCAGATTTCTAGAGCCGAGCTTCGACTTCGCTTCGCTGCTCTGCTGCAGCGCTCTCACATATACATGCATATTCTCGGAGTACCTGCTTGGCTACGCGCTTTTCGTTCGTTCTCAGAGAGGTAGGTGAAGAGAAAGAAACGCTGCTTTCTAAGCTCAGCTGCAGCACTCTCACACACACATATACTACGATTACGCTCTTGCTCGCCCACACACTTTCGCTTTCGTTCTTTGCTGGCAGAGGAAGAAGCGCTGAGCTGACCACGCGGCTGCATTTTTTTCACAGCCTGCAGTTTCCCCCCACCGTCCCTCGTGCAATGTTGTCAATTAATACGCGTGTTTGGTGCGCGCGCGTCTCAATGCACATCTTATTACATACATAAAGCCCATAGCGCAGGAGCACGTGTTTTCGTTTTCGTTTCAAAAAACCCAATTGTTATCAATTTTCACAGCTACCCTTATGGGTAGCTAAAGTTTGAAATGGAAATCTTGCGAAAAAGTGCAGTGAAAAGCCGGAAAGGAGAAAGGAGATAAGATTGTGGCAAAATCTGGCGACAAGCAGTGAGTGTAAAGGAAAAGTGAAAAGAGAGTGATAGTGCGAATGAGAAGAACACTAAAATGTACCGCAAGACTAAGGAAAGATTGGATATATTGAGCGCATTGATGGCCGCAAGCAAAAGCAACGGCAAAATATGAGTGTTTTTTTTCAGTGAGAGTGAGAGTGATGGATGGTCAATAATGACGGCAAGGAGTATTTGGCGAAAAATAGTGAGTGTAAAGTGAAAAGTGAGTGAAGTGATGGATGGTCAAGTATTATGGCAAGGGGCACATGACGAAAAATAGTGAGTGATAGTGATAAAGTGAGATCAATTGCGAGTCAGAACAACAATAAAATGTACCGCATGATTAAAGAAAGAGCGGAAATTATTGAGCGCATTGATGGCCGCAAGCAAAAGCAACGGCGAAATATGAGTGCTTTTTTTTAAGGGAGAGTGAGAGTGAGTGAATGTTGGTCAATAATGACGGCAAGGAGTATCTGGCGAAAAACAGTGAGTGTAAAGTGAAAAGTGAGTGGAGTGAAGGATGGTCAAGTATGACGGCAAGGAGCACATGGCCTAAAATAGTGAGTGTAAAGTAAGTGATAGTGATAAAGTGAGATCAAATGCGATTGAGAACAACGATAAAATGTACCGCATGACTAAAGAAAGAGCGGATATATTGAGCGCATTGATGGCCGCAAGCCAAAGTAACGGCAAAATATGAGTGTTTTTTTTCAGTGAGAGTGAGAGTGAGAGGGATGATCAATTATGACGGCAAAATGCACATGGCGAAAAGTAGTGGGTGTAAAGTGTAAAGTGAAAAGTGAGTGATAGTGATAAAGTGAGATCAAATGCGAGTGAGAACAACAATAAAATGTACCGCATGACTAAAGAAAGAGCGGAAATATTGAGTGCATTGATGGCAGCAAGCAAAAGCAACGGCGAAATATGAGTGATTTTTTTTCAGTGAGAGTGAGAGTGAGTAAGGATGGTCAATAATGACGGCAAGGAGTATCTGGCGAAAAATAGTGAGTGTAAAGTGAAAAGTGAGTGAAGTGAAGGATGGTCAAGTATGATGACAAGGAGCATATGGCACAAGTGAAAAGTGAGTGATAGTGATAAAGTGAGATCCAATGCAAGTGAGAACAACAATTAAATGTACCGCATGACTAAAGAAAGAGCGGATATACTGAGCGCATTGATGGCTGCAAGCCAAAGCAACGGCAAATTATGAGTGTTTTTTTTTCAGTGAGAGTGAGAGGGATGGTTGGTCCATAATGACGGCAAGAGGTACCTGGCGAAAAATAATGAGTGTAAAGTGTAAAGTGAAAAGTGAGTGAAGTGAAGGATGGTCAAGTAAGACGGCAAGGAGCACACGGCAAAAAAGTGAGTGTAAAGTGAAATCACTCACTTCACTTCCTACCAGTTCATTCTGCCGTTCCTCGTGTGCCGTTTTTTTCACTCACATTTCACTTTTCACTCACTTCACTTCCTACCAGTTCATTCTGCCGTTCCTCGTGTGCCGTTTTTTCTGAGTGTAAAGTGAAAAGTGAGTGAAGTGAAGGATGGTCAAGTAAGACGGCAAGGAGCACACGGCAAAAAAGTGAGTGTAAAGTGAAAAGTGAGTGAAGTGAAGGATGGTCAAGTAAGAAGGCAAGGAGTACCTGGCGAAAAATTGTGAGTGTAAAGTGAAAAGTGAGTGATAGTGAAGGATGGTCAAGTATGACGGCAAGGAGCACACACCGAAAAGTATTGATTGTAAAGTGAGTGATAGTGATAAAGTGAGATCAAATGATCAAAAACTGAGTAAAGACCGAAAATAGTAAACGCATTGCTGGCAAATGAACATTAACGCCACCATTAACGGTTTTTGGGGTGAGTTTTGCACAGTACGTACCTTACATTACTTACTTATTTACATACAAGAAACATTTCTTGATACAGAAAGTGAATCTGGCATTATATGGAATTTACTTTTATATATGTATGTATAGATAAATATAAATTTATTGGGTAGTATGAAAAACTTAACAAGATCCAAATATATTCTGATTATAATTAAACCAACATGCTTGCATTATTGTCGCAAAACTCATAAATATTATCAACAAATTGCATTTCATGTGCAGTTTTAGCAACTTGAGATGGTGTTTCCTCTTTCGGTGGTAGTTTTGCAGGTGCTTTTCGGGATGCTGCACCTTCCACACCGCAGACATTTACTGCTCCTTCCGTCTCCTCCAATGTCATCCGCTTGAGGTTATTAATCAGGGAAATGTCAAGCTTCATTTCGTTCTTCAAATCGAGCAGCTCGTGTTCCGTTTTGATTATGTCCTCGGCGTAGGCTTCAATGTTTTGTTGTAGCTGACCCACGGAAACCTCCATTGCCGACCCCTTGTAGCGCTGGTTCTGAATCCTATACATTCGACACTTCTCAGACAGTTGACGTGTCAGTGCGTACTCCCGTTCGTAGCGTTGGTTCATGTCAGCGTGCAGGGATGCCAACTTATTGCGCACACTGTTACGCAACGGTCGATCCTTGCGCCTGCGTATATAATTATTCACATTATTATTGCATTCTTGGGGATTTTCTGCTGTGGCTGCTGTTGAGTTTGATGTATTCGGGTCATGGCGGCTTCGACGACGTCGTCGCTGCTGCTTGGAGACCCGATTTTCGGCGAGTTTATAAAGCTTTTCCTTCGCACAGTTCTCTGCGCCTGTGTACAGCTGATCCGGCATGATGACCAGAAGCAGCTCATCCGCCGTCACTTGTCTGGTGCCTTTGTAGCGCAGACCCTTTTCTCTTGTCTTGTTGGGCACTTTGGGAGGAGTATTTGTGGGTTTTGTGTGCATATTCTTTTTGTTTTTGCTCAAATGCAAGAGTTTCTTGAGCCATTTGATCATGGAAAAGCTGGCAGCTGGCGGAGCATGTGGCATCAACTGAAGCGACATGGGATCCCTGAAGTTCTCCCTCAACTTGAGCGATAGGCGAAGCTATAAGTAAAGTATGAAAAATAAGAGATTTTAGTGTACTCAATAACATTTGTAGGGGGCCCTAACACTAACAGAAACTACTCGATTAGGAAACCATTAGGAGTAGGCCCATGCTAATGGTGGCTTGATCATAAAAAATTTACAACATAATTACCAACCAAATATAAACATGAACTTTAATACAAAAATCAATAAGAAAATTGATTTCGTTTGGTGCGTCATAGGGAAATGCGGAAACACCGAAAGAAAAGGCTCAGGCAGCATAAGTCAAATGCGAGGACAATCAAACAGACATATGCGGTGGGGGGAGGGTGTGACCAATTGGGAAAGGGAAGGAAGTGTGGGTGTTGGTGTGGGGACAGGGGCCGACATGAATTTCACATTTCTTGGCTTGCGTGTGGCGCCAGGACGGCCGAGCAAAGTGAGGGAGAGAGAGAAAGAGAAAAAACGCTTATTATGCAATCACTGTAGACTTCTTTTTTGTTTGTGTTCATCCGCTTTTGGGCTCTGTTTTTGC